TATCTGTGGTGGTGGTGGTGGTGGTTTAGTCGCTAAACCGTCCAACTCTTGCAACCCCATAGCTGCAGCCCGTCAGGCTCCTCTGTCCATGGGATTCTCCAGGCAAGAATACTGGAGTGGGTTGCCATTTCCTTCTCCAGGGGATCTTCCAAACCCAGGGATCGAACCTGGGTCTCCTGCAATGCAGGCAGATTCTTTACTGATTGATATCTGTGGGGGCATTTTTAATTGTTTGTCCTCGCATTATGGACTTTTCCTCCTTGTCTTTAGAGACCTTTTCCATTTCCTTCTTGTTAGAATTCAACTTTCTTCCAACATCCTCACTTGCAGGCTAACAGAAACCAACTTCCAATTCCCTACCATGTAATAGTGAAGTAAACTTTGGCTTTCAGTTACAGCTTTCTTATTCTTGACCCTACCAAGTGTCCTTAGCCTTTATTAATGGCCTATCTAGCTGTTTTTTAAACAAAATAACCATCTATTATTTTATACAGATAAATCTTGTATATTTCTAAGGATATCGAAGTTTATTTCTATTTGTCATACTCTCTGTATTTTCCTGTTATAATATTACCACACCAGCAGATTTACAAAGTCCTTAAAAGCTAAAGACATATTGAGTTATAAAGACTACAATGTAGAATAATACAAATGCAAAAATCATCATGTGGTTCTTTAAATAGTTCTAATAAAATGTTTGATTGAAAGATCTAAGTGGCATAAAAGATAACTTTTGGTTTCTAAAGTTTTGTGTCTTAGAATTGTGTATATTTAGAAACTGTTTGGTTGCTTTGCTTACTCAGTTATTTGTGTAGAAGCCAGAATTATGTCTTAACACAAACACGCATAAACACATTTGGGCCATAAACATAGGAGGTTACATAGGAGGTAGTTAGCTATTCTTATTAAGGTTTTGGAAGACTACAAATGCTTAGAATTTAAAAACTACTCCAATTCATTTAATAATCAATTATCAATCTTGTATTATCAGTCTGCTGAAAAAACACAGAAACAGAGGTTTAAAACTATACTATGCATAGCAATCACCTAGAAAGCCTATAGGGTGCAAATTTCATCTCCCCAAACAGAATCTGACATCTGATGTAGGGCTAAGAAATTCACATTTAGGTAAGCTGCCCAGGTGTGTTATAATGAATGTGAGCACATTTTTGGAAATATGAGTGGGGTATTTAAGTAATGTCCTAGTACAAAGTGGTTCATGTTACTTAAATCCTAGCCACCTAGGTATACCACAGTATCTTAAGGCTTTTTTGACCTTTTCCTGGTAACATAACTCATTTAATGAACATAAATAGTAAGTTCCAGTAATTCTTATTAAGGTAATGATGATTTCAAATATTTTCAGAGTGCTTTAAATTAGAAGCCATCTTAATATATATATGTATATACATATCTTTTATTTTCACTTTATCCCGGTCAATGGGGCTGGTGCAATAATTTAAGACAAGTGAATTCTATAGGTCTCCCAATATAGAAAGTCCAAAGGGACTCTACCAGCACTCAAACCTCAAAAGTCACCTTACAGTCTCATTTTAAATCAAATACAGGTAATATTTTTTGTTGATTTAAAACCTTTGGAAAGTGAGGATCTCTGTGCTAATTTGGAATTTATTCATCACAATTCGTGTAAAAGAGGCAAACCTGGAAAATCCTCTCTTCCTTTTGTGTTCCCTTCAAGGCATCACTTGAGCAATTCCAGACTTTTTTGTTAAAACTTCTCTTTTGTGTAATACACACCTCTCCTTTCTATCAGGTTGACCTCCACTTATCCTTCAAAGTCCAGTCTATTGATATTTTCTCAGAGGTTTCTATAACCTCTCAGTTTAAATAAGCTTTAGGTTATTTTTCCTTTCATTGAATTTATTATAATTGCAATTGTGTAATTTTGTGTAGTTAAATATTTAATGTCTATATACCCGTTGGATTGTGAGTTCCTCCAAGGATAGGATTGTGTTTTGTTTACTACTGTCAAAGTTAGACCCTACCCCTGTGGCCTGGCATACAGAGGCACTCAACATACTTCTTGAATTAATGAATGAAGTGTAGGAAAATATCTGACTGGAAAAGATTTTAGCACTTTACATTGATGAAAGTATACTTGGAAACTGTCTTTGTTGTATGAGAGGTGGTAAGTCAGGGCTAATTTTGAATGAGCAACGTTGGAGGTCCCACTCTATCCACTACAGAGTATAGGTGGACAGCATTGAGACTGAAAACTAGCCAGAAAAAATGCTGACTCAGAAACACTAGAATCAAAGATAAAATTGCAGCTTGCTTTAATCAAAGATAAAATTGCAGCTTGCTTTAATTGCTTTGTACTCTGTCTCATAGATAGAATTTGCCCACTGAAACTTTAGATGCTTAGCCGAAAATTCTGGATACCATGGTGGAATGTGTGGGGAGTGGCTGTTGGAGGAGTCAGTATGTCACACTGCAAAGGCTGTCATGCAAAAGAAGTGTGGGGGGAGTCAGAAATAAGCGTGACTCTAAAACCCGTAGATAAAATTGTGATCAGATGAAGAGGTAATGCACAAATCAAAGGTAGTTGATTCTTTCTCTAAAAGATGTAATGTTTTAAAGAATCTGTGATGTCCTTGTGATATTAAGTGTTAGAACAAGTACTTGACTTAAAAAGAAAAGTGTATTTATTTGTATGAAGGAAAAGCTGAGTGAAAAAAAATGCCATCATCTCACAATATATCTGGAAAAGATCATAGTCAAATTGTAATGTCAAAACCAAGGGAAGTTGGAAGATAGGAATGGAAAAATAAGTCAAAGCCTTGATTTGCATGACTTATAATATTAATATGAGTGATATACTTTACTAGCACACTGCAGAGAAACTAGTCCATAATTTGGGGTGGTTCTTTCCTTTTCTGGAGAAGGAAATGGCAACCTGCTCCAGTATTCTTGCCTGGAAAATCACATGGATGGAGGAGCCTGGTAGGCTACAATCCATGGGATTGCAAAGAGTGGGACACAAATGAGCAACTTCACTTTCATTTTCTTTTCCTTTTTAGTTGAGGTATAGTTGATGTACAATATTATATGTTTCAGATCTACAGCATAGTGATTTACAACTTTTAGAAGTTGTATTCAATTTATAGTTATTAAAGCTATTGGATAGTATTTCCTAAGTTGTACTATATATCCTTTATAACTTACTTATTTTATCCACAATAGTTTGTACCTCTTAATCCTTTACCCCTATCTTCCCCCCCCCACCTTGAGAAGTTTCTTTATGGCAGATAATCTCAGTCCTTTTTTTTATAACTTACTTATTTTATCCACAATAGTTTGTACCTCTTAATCCTTTACCCCTATCTTCCCCCCCCACCTTGAGAAGTTTCTTTATGGCAGATAATCTCAGTCCTTTTTTTTTTTCAGTCTTTTTGTGTATCTCATGTACTTGGCAAGATCTGTGTATCTCTTACGTTGAAACTCAACCAGGGAAAAAGGGAGATGATTTCAATCTCTTCTTGAAACTTGAAGGTGAAGGTGAAGTTGCTCAGTCATGTCTGACTCTTTGCGACCCCATAGACTTTAGCCCACCAGGCTCCTCTGTCCATGGGATTTTCCAGGCAAGAATACTGGAGTGGGTTGCCATTTCCTTCTTGAAACTTAGATCTTTTCAATGTTTAGTTGAGGAGCAGGTATTAGGGAAGAGCTTTGGGTTTGGGATATGTCATACTATTTCTAAAAAGGATCTCCCTCTATTTGACTGATGACCTCTTCCTCCTGAATAATTCATTTGTTTAGATATTCAAGGACTCTTGGTAGTCTATTGATGCTCAGTGAGCAGGTTCAATCTCAGCTCACTCAGAGAGCACTGGGAATCTGCCAGCTTCTCTGAAAGCCTCCATTGCTGACAGCTGGCAACAGTGTCATGGGCTTCATATGACACTGGGTTTCAGATTTTCAGATCTTTCATATTTAGAAGAATTTGATCCTAAAATAAATAAAGGCTTCAACATATTTGTATTCTACATTTGAGAGTTTGGTAGTTATGGGAACAGAATCTGGGGCAAAACTTATCAAGTTAATCTTATGACTTTGGAAAAGTTACAAACTCTGTGACCATAAAAGGTGACAGTGTAGTGTCATTATGAGTATTGATATGAGCTAATTATGTAAATTGCTTTGAAGAGTGTTTGGTATTAGTAAGAACTATATAAGTGAGAGCTTTTATTATTATTTTGTATTAGTAGGTATGTGTATATTCATATATTATTGGCCAAAGAAATGTTGAATTTTTAAAAAACCTTTATAACATATATTTTATAGTTTTATAACATATTATTCTAACATTTGAAGTTCTTTTTCAGGAGAGGAAGAATGCCTTTTAATTTGTTCCTTAATTCTTTCTCTCTCTTCAGTCTTAATGCCAACTCTTCTTCCCTAGGTTTGCTCTTTTTGGACTTCACCTTTGGTTGATATAATTTAAATGGTAGCACAGCTCAAACACTTTTTTCATGTCATGATAATCTGAACATTTGAGAAGAAGCCTGCAGTTAAATATGGGTGGCTTCCAGATTTCCATCAGTGTAGACTGCACCTTATATTTATGGTTGTAAATCTGGACCTAATACATGAAGATTTCTAGAATCATAACCAATATCTGGAGCCATTGTCTACATTTATTTTTTTTCAGCCTGCTGCCCTGTAACATTCTTTTGCAAGGTTTTTATTTTTTGTTCTTTTTCTTACACAGAAGACTCAGATTGTTTTCCAACATAAATCAGAACTTTTAATCTATATAAGCTGAAAGGAGAACTTGAAACATCCTTCCCGTGCAACTCTAATGGATGTTACCTACATGTCTAAGTTCTTACAGTTGAGTAACATCCTGAGTTAAATCTCCAAATATGTGTTTATACTTCTTCATCTACGGGGATCAGTGCTTTTAAACTTGGATTGAAGTATATTATGGTTCAGATCATTCTATATTTCTTCTTTCATTTCTTTTTTTTTCTCTACAGTTTATTGCTTTTGCTTCTTTATTCTTCATCCTGGTTTCAATCACAACCTTTTGCCTGGAGACACATGAAGCTTTCAATATTGTTAAAAACAAGACAGAATCAGTCAGCAATGGCACCAGTGTGGTCCCACAGTATGAAATTGAAACAGACCCTGCCTTGACGTATGTAGAAGGAGTATGTGTGGTATGGTTTACTTTTGAATTTTTAGTCCGTATTGTTTTTTCCCCCAATAAACTTGAATTCGTCAAAAACCTCTTGAATATCATTGACTTTGTGGCCATCCTGCCCTTCTACTTAGAGGTGGGACTCAGCGGGCTCTCATCTAAAGCTGCTAAAGATGTCCTTGGCTTCCTCAGAGTGGTCAGATTTGTGAGGATCCTCAGGATCTTCAAGCTCACCCGCCATTTTGTAGGCTTGAGGGTGCTTGGACACACTCTTCGAGCGAGCACAAATGAATTTCTGCTGCTGATAATCTTCCTGGCTCTAGGAGTTCTGATATTTGCTACTATGATCTACTATGCAGAGAGAGTGGGCGCCCAGCCCAACGACCCTTCAGCTAGCGAGCACACGCAGTTCAAAAACATCCCTATTGGGTTCTGGTGGGCTGTAGTAACCATGACTACCTTGGGCTATGGAGACATGTACCCCCAGACGTGGTCGGGGATGCTGGTGGGAGCCCTGTGCGCTCTGGCTGGAGTACTGACCATAGCCATGCCGGTGCCTGTCATTGTCAACAACTTCGGAATGTACTACTCCTTGGCGATGGCAAAGCAGAAGCTTCCACGGAAAAGGAAGAAGCACATCCCTCCTGCTCCTCAGGCAAACTCGCCTACTTTTTGCAAGACAGAATTAAACGTGGCCTGCAATAGCAAGCAGGGTGACTCGTGTCTGGGCAAAGACAGTCGGCTTCTGGAACATAACAGATCAGGTAAGGCATGGGTTCAAATGCATGCCATTAAATACTTTATAGACCAGTATGTCCCTTAGGTAGAAGGCACCTTCTCATTTTCTGCAGATGTTCGGAGTTTTCGGTTCCACCCCTTTGCAAATGTGTCTGTGTCAGGCTTGTAGATAGCTAGACTATAGCTTTTCTAAATGAATCCTAAGTAGAAGTCCGCATAGCTGGTCTATAGAGTTCTCCTGCTTTGACGGGAATGCCCTGTGCTGACGGCGCCAATATTTTCTTTTGCCTGTTTGTTGCTTTCGTGCCGATGTTCCTTTGTTTCCCTGCACGATGTGGTGGTATGATATTGGACATTTTCCATCCTTCATTCTCAAAATGTTGATCTCCATGTCATTTGGCTTGGTGTGTTTTTCTCAGTTTTATCTCTGCCACATGGGGCCATGCATTTTGACCTAATTCACAAGAAGAAGTTGTGTAAAAAGAATGGATGTTTACATTTCAAAGGCCTAAACACTGAAGAGGTGATATGTAAGAATGCCCTTTGGAAAGTAAAGGTGTTCTTCAGTAATATTGGGGAGTGTTGGTTAAGTTTTCATTATTCTTTAATTAGGGTATTTCAATATAATTCCTTTGCTTTGGGTAAAGTGCTGTGTAGTACAATCAGCCCATCATTATGCAGGGTCTAGATGATCTGCTTTGGCTAATCAATAGGAAGGTTGAATTTCTCTGTGGATTGCCTTTTTTAATGCATTCTGCACTGGGCTCTTTTCCCTCCCAGAATGGAATTTTGGATAACTTCCTGCTTGAAATTAGCTGAATTCCTGCTTGTCTCTGTTGCCATAGATAATCTAGAGTTAATTGACTGTAAATTCAGTTTGCCAAAGTGATAGTCAATAGTGTCTTCTCTAGTCTGTTATGTCTAGTAAAGATGAAATATTTTGTAGATCTCACAATTTAACTAATTTTTTGTCATCTATGAAATGTTAAGATATATGCATTCCCTATAACTTAGATAGATTTAATCTTTTTCTTGTAGAAAAATGATTTATGAAAATCCCATGTGAATAATTTAGCATTATTTAGAAATAACACCAATTAAACAAACCAAGCAAACTAGCAAACAAATGGGAAAAGCAAGTGACATTTTCACAGGTTGTCTCCTTAGCTCCCAAAAGCTACTATGGGTTAAATTGGGGGGGGGGGGAATAAAACCTGACTGGAACTGAACTGCTTTTTAAAAGATTTTATTCAAAGTTCTTGTGATTATTTAGCAGACTGTTTTGCAAATTCTGTCAGCGTGTATCTGAGAATTGCTATGCCAGGAATATCCTTACGGAAGATGGAATGTAGTTTGTGTTGCTGCCCTTGTTAGACTGTTCTCTGCTTGTGCGGAGCTTTTCTGAAGGGCATGGAAAGGCGGACACACTCAGCTTGGGCAAGCACTGTTATGAGCTAGCATCTAGGCGATAGGATGTGAAAGTCTTTGGCAAGTATTTAGACATAAACGTTTCAAGGGCGTTTGGAGAAGTTGACTTGTTCCATTGTTATGCTCAAAACAGAACCTGGACACAAAGTTTGTAAACTTTGGGATTGTTTTCATTATGAATTTTGGGAAACATTACTTCCAGAAAACAATGAAAGCATATGTCTTTTAGCACTACAAAGACAAATATTTACTTAGGACTTTTTCCGTCAGTAGGCTCCATTTTTAAAGATGTCTATTTGCAGTATCTAGATAACCTATCAAAAGTGGAAAGATGCTAATTCGTGCGCTACTTCATTATCACACTTACTTTGAATCATATTAGTTTTGTAAAAGTTGTTGTCATATTAGATAAAGTCCAACATGAAGTTAAAATTTCCCTGAGAACATCTCTCCTTTTCAATACATTTCCATTTTGCTCCATGTAAGTTTTTGTGACGAGTGATGAAAATTCTTTTCTTATCATGTTGTGATGATTGTGTTTTGTATTATCGAGTGACTGTACTTTGGACACTGGGCGTAAACTCTTTGTATTGTCTCGTTCCCTCATCATCACTGTCTGTCAATGGGCGTGGTGCTGTGACCAGTGTTAGCAGGTGACGACAGTGCGGGAAGTGAGCCGCCGTTATCGCCCCCAGAAAGGCTCCCCATCAGGCGCTCTAGCACCAGAGACAAAAGCAGAAGAGGGGAGACGTGTTTCCTGCTGACGGCAGGTGATTACACGTGTGCTTCTGATGGAGGGATCAGGAAAGGTAGGCATGCATTTCATCAGATCCTAACAGGTGACGTAGCAATTAAATGCTGCAAATGTATGGAGTGGTGTAAAATGCTTATTCATCATTTTCTGGGAGCAGCTATGACATCATAGTGCCTTTTGTCTCATTACATCTTATCTCATTATAAATATTTAAAAATGTGTATCATAACAGCCAACTTGATTATCATATCTGAAAGACTTTTCACCCTTCTTTCTTTTTTTTATTATTTTGTTTTTCATTTGTCTATAGGCAGAATTGTAATGAAGTATTAAGTAATTAAGTCAACCATCGATTTATTTTAATATAATATATTCAGCAGTCTTGAAAATTTATCTTTTTTCCTACAATGAATTAAAGTCACTAATTGACTCTATGCATCTGTTTGATAAGTGATTGATAATTATAAAACAATAATAAAACTTTTTTTCCAAAGTAAAACATTAAACATACTCTAATGGTCTCTTATCCAGTGTTTGGGCAAATTTTCCCCAGTAATTAATCTGAACGTCAGGAGTTTGCTAAGGTACATGATCCTCCAGCCATATAGAACAGTATACCCAATCAGTGGAAAGGTTACTTACTGTACTTACAAAATGTACTTACAAAATTTCTCTTCTGGGCAATGATCATTTTAAGTTTATTATTATTTTTTAATTGACACTGAACAATTCCTGGCTCATAGAAGATCCTTAATATCTGTTGAATGGATGCATTGTATTAGATAGGCATCTTGGTTAAGAAATATAGCAGGATACTGAAGCTCCCCTTCAGCATGTGGTTTTATTTCCCTAGATTGTGTCAACCGTCTATGACTATTCCTTAGTTGCTAGTTTTCATTTTCATTTTAGTAAACTTTACCATCCGAACAATTGGACCCTTTTTATCTCAAGAAATTAGTTTCGTGACACTTATAACCCACCCTTGTCAAAGTTCTGGTATGCTCTTAGAATACTTTCTGCTTTGAGAATTCCAGTTGCTTTAGTGCCAAGGTTATTTTATTCTATTTACCAACAGAATAGAGAAAGAACTACAAATTTCTTATGAAGAAATGGTAATTTCTTAGGCAATTGACTGAATTTGAATGAAAAGCCACTCTAAAACTTTCATGTTAGTGCAACTGCATTTTAAAAATATTGTGCTTATTTGCTATTCATTGCAGTTTCTCCCTACAGAATACCTTACCATTTTAAGCCTAAAATATTTATAATGCCTCCTGCCTTTGAAATAACTCATTACCCATGTTGTGCTTCTTTTTTGTTTCTTCTGAGCACTTTATATTGTTCTTTCTGTCTCCATACTTGTAAGTAACAAAAGAGAAGACAGAGGACTCTTTTGTTTTTTTAATGTGTAATATTTTAAATTATACTTCATTCCAAGAACTGTCACTCTTTGCATCTCTTGTACCAAAATGTGTTTCAATTATCTGATTTTTCACTATTTTATATTGTTACAATAGTTTTTAAATATTTTTATAGTTAATACTCTATCATAGTACTTAAGCAAAATATATGTATATAGCTATTAATATGGAATATAGTACTTGCCTTGTAATCTTAAATTACTATATATGTATATACATATATCCATATGTGTATATATGTATTTTTATGTATTGTGTGATTATATTTGGATATATTTTAAGCATCATTTAATAAAATATCACATGCAATATTTATACTAGGGTTACATGTTAAGACTCTAGCTAGAATGTTTCTCTTCCATGTTAGATAATATTTTGAATTTTAAACTGTCAAAAGGGGTCACATATTTTAAAAGACTTTGCAAACTATAAAGCACCTATATAAATACAGTTTTCCTGTAAAATGGCAAATTTCCATAGCAAAGCAGTTAATAAGATATTGTGTTTATATGAGAAAATTATACATGTGATCTTATTTCACAAATTCTATCAATGAGAGCATCTTTGAAAACCCAACTATGAGCTTTTTATTTTTAATTATTTCTCACTGTAAACAAATTCTTTTTCATTCTTGCTTATTTTGTAGATCTGTGTTTTTTTTTTTCCCTAGATCTGGTAACATTTCTGGCTATTTTCACTTAATCTTCTCAGTGTTTATTTTGTCATGTCTATTAGAAATCCATTTATTTCTTCTCCTGTTTCCTTTATATAGATTAGAGATATCTCCTGTTATTCCCACTCACATATTTATCTTCTGTATGTTTCTAATCGTTTTCTACACTGACCTGATTTTTGGGTTATATAAATTCTCCCCTATATAAGTGAGAAAAATGACTGGATTTCCTTTGTATTCTTTTTCTATCAACAAGTGTAAATGCAGTTGGGCATACATTAAGAAAACATGTGGATTACCTAAAAGAATGAACTCCCAAAACTTAGAACCTATGATTTTATTTATACAGTATTTTTATTTATATATCATTTTACATGAACACAAACATACTCATTGATAATGCACAAATAGGCAGTTTCAATATTGCCCTAAACAAATATGTGCTCTTAAAAGCTGTGTAAAATGTATATCATGTATTTAAATATTAGTTCAAATTGAGTTCAATATTGTTTATTCTCATAAATTATATTTTCAGTCATTCCATTCAATAAAAGCTTGATGAGGCAAAATTTTGTCAAATTTTCTAATCACAAATGAACCTGCAGAATAAAGGAAGAATAAATTTATATGAAAAACATAATTTTACTAATTAAATACTTGTTACTAAATTATAAGGGAACCCTTCTCAAATAGACACTGAAATCATAGTTATTAAAAATAACATGACTTATCAACAGAATAAATAATATTTATCTTAATGACTATAATTCAGAAAAGTAACTAAACATTTACAAGGGCAACCAAGATTTACATGTAAATAACATGATTATTATAAATTGTTAAACAGATTTTTACCTTTTTTGGAAGTCTCATAGGGAACACAGTTATTGTGGGGAACAAGATGTGTATTTTTACAAGGATGGTCTATAGTTATTAACAACTTCTTTGATTCATGTATATTCATGAGGTTGCTTTTAATCAAAACCAATCAATGTTTATAGTCTAGTTTACATTTTTAGGTTACACTAAAAATCCAAGTCAACTTGGATAAATTATTCTTTCTACAAGTCCTAGTTTTATTTCCAATCACATTACAGAAGAATAATGATAATTAGCCCTCTAGGAATGTGAAGGTCCCTATGTAAGAATGAATGACTTGCAATTCCTTTTTAATTATTTAAGACATTCTTTCATTAACTGTTCCATCACCCACCAGAGCAGAATGAAATATATGCCACCTCACATGCTTTATAGCTCAAAATACTAATAAAACATATAGGTAGATAATTTTCTCATTAGCAGTAATTATGTCCTAGAGAACTGTACTGTAATCAGTGGATGACATAAATTTTCACCTACAAAATATCAAAGAAAACATCTAATCTGCTGAAAGTTTGTGGGTGTATATGTAGAGAGGGGGTTCCTACTAGTCGAACCTTACCCTGCAGTAGAGCTGTTTCATTTTCCAGATCTATACCACTTTTTCAGTGGAGCTGCCAGAACATTTATTTGATGGATTGTATAATATGACTATTTTTTCAGTTAATGATTGCCTGACTTTTAATACAATTTTACTTCTACTTTTATAGTAGGTGCTCACTACCTCATTTACCTGCTGCTAGTCTTTTCTAATAAAAAATACCACAATATATACTCCTTCCAATAGTGTCCTTGATGGGGTGTGGCTTGAGCAGCTAAGGCAAATCAGTGGGTTAAAGTTTGTGGGAAAGACATGTAAGTGGGAAGGATTCTGTGAGTCAATGATTATCATGAACAGAAGATTAGAACACAAGATAATAGGAAGAAAAGGTGGAAAATATCAAATTATTCTTCATTCCTGGCAGGGAAGAATCAGCTGAAAATACATAATCAAAATCAGATTTAAATTTACGGAAATGATGACTCAGTTTATATTATTTATTTTTTTATTTTTTAAATACAAGGGATTAGGAATGGGCATTCATTCTGCATTACCTAGATAATGGCATTAAAAGTCGTTATTGAGGAATCATCCTTTTAACCCCATAAAGCTGGAAGATTAAATATGCTGGGAAAGAGTGGTGCACTTAAACTTAAGCATGCTTTATTAACTTAGTAAACACTAAAATAAGAATAAAAAGAGAAAAAATAGCTCATTTTTTTTCAGGAACATATTCTGAAATTTAAAAATATTAGCCAAATTTATATCTTATTTAAGTTGCTTTGCATAATTCTTATAAGTTTTCTGATATTGAATATGCCAAAATTTCATCAATACAAACTATAATTTGGAAAAGAATAGATTTTTGAAGTATTATAATAGTAATTTGTGATATTTGGCTTAATCTTTTGGAAATGACAGCTACAGCAAGCTTCATTTTTTTTTTTTTTTTAGAGTTGTAAATTGTCTCAATGTTGAATTCTTTGTAAACAAATTCTTTGAGCTCAAAAATAGCACTTTGATTACCCTGCATGATATTGTTTGTCTGTGTCTATTTTCTGGTTGAATTCAACTGATGTCTGTGCATTTTTCCATAAAAGGATATGAAAAATCCCGAAGCTTAAACAACATAGCGGGCTTGGCAGGCAATGCTCTGAGGCTCTCTCCAGTAACTTCACCTTACAACTCTCCTTGTCCTCTGAGGCGCTCTCGATCTCCCATCCCATCTATCTTGTAAACCAAACTGCATCAGTTGGCTAAATTGTCTTAATTCAAGTACTGTTTACCCCATAATGGAAATAATTAAATGTAGAGTTACTCCAGACGCCATTAATACAGTATAAATCCTGCATGATACTACTATCTGAAGTCAAAAAATGCCGTTTGGGTAGCTGACGAATCTTATCCTGGCTTTAAACGAATCTTATCCTAGTAGTGCTGCCACTTTTCCATATGAATTGCCCTGATCTCCTTTCGCAATAAAATGACAGATAGCATCAGATATTGGCGAGTACCCTAATACATAAACACATCTTCAGGGAGGTAATTTAAATCATTGTGCTTCCAAATGCCAGCTACTTCATGGGAACTTCATTTCTCGTGACTCTGAACCATTCTGAAGATGTCTGGGATTCTGTTTTGAATGCACACAACATGACTTTGGTCAGCTCATTTGCATGGACCATCTTGTCTCTATCACCTGAAAGCAATGTCGCAGTGTTCGGGGACCGCAGATGGCTCGGGATATGTGTACTTGCATCGAACCATTCTGCTGATGTGAAACCACTGGTTGACTGTTCTGCATGTTGAATTGTGGGGCAGGGAGGGTGAATTTCTCCTTGACAATTTTTTTTTTTAAATTCTTTGAAAAAAAAATATTTGTTTTAAATAGTTTAATTTCTTGATTGTTTTACTTTTCTTCCAAAATGCTGTATTGGAGTTCTGAATGTCTCTGGTTGTTTGCACACAGATAACTGCAAAGAGATTGTCATTACTGGTTACACGCAAGCTGAGGCCAGATCTCTTACTTAATGGCTTGGGGAAGGCACAAAACATGAGAGAAAGGTAACTGCCAGCCAGGCTTGCATCGTTTAGATAGGAATTGCTATTTGGAACTAGAATCATGTTTTCTTTCTTTTAATCCCAGAATTTGTCATCATTTTCAGAGTCAGGGTGCCAAAGTATCACTCAAAATTCTTGTCTTTTTTACCCCCTTCCTTTATTTAATTTATTATTATTATTATTATTATTATTATTATTATTATTTTGCAAACAACAAAGAGCATTGTTGTTCACAGGAAGCTTTCTTGACAAGCCTTAAATCTCTGACTGACAGCATTAATCAGATTTTCAGGCAGTGTTTAATCAGGTGCTTTGTCCTGTATGTCGTTCTGTCCATATGTCTTAGCTCCCTGTCTTATGTGTATATGCCATCTGTCTCCATGAAGCACAGAAATGCCTTGATGAGGTGTTCATGATTTTAGGACTGGGTCCTCTTCCCTGCCCCTTGCCTTCTTCACTACTTGGAACAGCCTCTGTGCTTTGTGTGTGAATTAGTGATGCCCGTAGACTACCTAAGTTAACCGGTGCTGTGAACCTGTCTGATAAGCAGGATTTAAGCAGCAGTTTTACCCTTGCATTTGATTGCCTGCTGCAGTGTCAGTTTCTACTCCCTAGCAACCAGAATTCATCAGGACACGCCAGTGAAACCCTCAGGGTGTCTTATTCAGTGCAAGTGGGAGACATTCTGTTTGCACATCCCTACAAATGCAATAGCAGTAGTGTGTCTGATGTATTGGACATGAGAGGGAAGAAAATACCATACTATAAACTGAGAGATAAACAATATTTCTAAGGCATTTAGGATCCTTGAGACTGCTAATTCCTAATGCTCATGTTTATTTCCGGTTAGGGAGACAATTGTCACTTTTAGAATTGGCCACATAACATGTATTACTTTATATCCCCAAGTCCTAGAGCATGACCTGCATGTCAGAGACCTTGTACAGCAATGTATTTACCCAGACATAACTCATATTTAGAGATTCAGTGATGCTTTTGATAACACTACACATAGAAAGTTATAATTAAACACAACTTTATGGTGAAGGAATTAATATACTGTCTGGTGCTGCTGTTATTGACTGCAGTGTTGTACAGAATTTATCATGGATTTTTGACTGCTGAAAAAGGGACAGTGGAATTTAGCCATACCAAGGACTATTCTGGAAACAGACTCCTGCTGCTGAATGTGCCCTGACGTGACCAGGTTGCACTTGGAAGAGATCCTGGCGTCTTCATGAAGCATGAAAAAGCCTATGCAAGAACTGTGGCTGGAACTCATTTGGTGCTCCCCATATGAGTGGTCTGCTGAGGACTGGCTGGTGTCCATGAAACAGCTGTAAATACCAACATGTATGCATGGGTCAACAGCTTTGGCCATCTCACATCGAAGGAAGCCAGAGTCACGATCAACATCTCTGGAGCTTCAAGTAAGGCCCGCACCTCTGTGAATTACCCTTTGTGGACCTGCAGTAGATTGTGCTGTGATCATAAAAGCAGTGATATTGGTGTACTATAGGTCTGTCTTAATTTCCTTCATTTCTCTTTTGTTGGTTAGATCCACGAACACTAACTGTATCATTTATTTTTAATAAGCCACTTACACTAGCTTGTCATATTATGTTGCAGAATTTTCAGTGCCTGTTTGTCAAAACTGACCCATTTGGAGTCCCACATTTGTTTTAAGTTCTTAAAAGTTATTTGACTTAAACTCATTAATATTATTCATGATTCAAGTATTTTGTCATTGTTACCTCAATTATAAATATTAAAAAAATAAAATTCTGGCAATGAGAATATTTTTTTATTAAATTATCAAGACTAATGTCAGTATATAGTAGAATATTAATTGAATTATACCCTAAAATGTATATTTTGCATAAAAGAGATATTCTTCAATCGATTACTTTTTTTTGTGAATTTTGTGGCAAAGAAGCTTGCACTTGTCTTTAAAACTGTTGTAGTTGAAACTGTATAAAAATTCATCTTGCTTAATCAGTATTTCTGGAATCTGTTAGTTCCCCTGGGACTCTGAATATAACATACAACCTAATTATGAATCCCTGTATCATGGACCTTTTGTGACCATCTCAAGGTGCATGCATAACCTTGATGATAATCGGTGAAAATGTAACTAACTAAAATGAAGAATAAAAGGCAAATAAGTTGGGGATAAACTTGAATCCTATCTGAATAAATTATTCATGTTTTTTCCTTGGCTCGTCTCTTTGTTTTGCAGTTTTCGACAGGCTTTACCATTTTTATGCATCGTGATAACAAAAGACACTCATGCATAATAAAGAATTTGAGATGAAAGGATTTGTAAACATACATAGGTCACATTTTCATTCAAGCCTTAGACATGTAGCTAGTGTTTTCCTCTTCTAAGTGATTTTTTTCTCTTATAATTCTGAAGTGGTAAAATTATTATTTTGGTATTTGATTGTTATATGGTATTTTATGACTAAATACTGAATTTTCACTTACACTTTCCAACTTAATCATCACAGTGATTCTGGAGGTAAATATTTTTTGTTTCATTTTATTGGTGGTGAAGTGAAAGATCACAGAGGCAAGACTGTTCACTTATATATTTGTCACAGTTTTCCTGTCATAGTTTCTTATTGTTTAACTATCTACTGAGCTTCTTGTGCTAAGTCCTTTCAGTGGTATCCACTCTGCGTGACCCCATGGACTGTAGCCTGCCCAGCTCCTCTGACCATGGGATTCTCCAGGCGAGCGTACTGGAGTGGGCTGCCATTTCCTCCTCCAGGGGATCTTCCCTGAACCCGTGTCTCCTGCCTTGGCAGGAGGTTTCTTCCTGCTACTGCCACCTGGGAAGGCCTCGTGTAAATGCCTTATGTTCTAAATATGACTTCTCTCTCGCTTTTTGGTAACAGATGAGTGTCTTGGCAGTACACCACACGTGGCTGGCATCCCATTCACATGGCGGGGTTATGCTTTTATTTCCATGTAAATTCTGTGTCACCAACAGGAACAGAGGAAAGTGAAAATGGAAAAGAGAAATAAGGTTGACAAATCCAACACTTTACTGAATCTTTTCTAGCTCTAAAAGAGCTAGATTATTAAGAGACTATTGCTTATGAAGTTTATTAAGAGATTTTTGATTATTAAGAGACTATTAAGAAACCAATATTCAGAAAAGGAAATCTGTCTAAAAATAATTACTGACAAGAAGTTGTTAACTATGGTGTCAGGATGTAGGATTTGCTGTAAAAAGGAAAAATATATAGGATGGGGAAAGAATGCATTTTAATAGATAATTGCCATCAAATTTTGATTAAAAAATCAAGATTAAATAGTTATAGAAAAAAGGGGAAGATATTCAGTTTATCTTTGAAATAAATCACAAGACAGATGAATGGGGTAGCAAGAGTGAACTTAACTTGGAAAGAGACAGTGAATATATTAAAAGGCTATAATACAAAGCAAGGACTTTGGAGGATTTATAACATGTTTGAAGACAGAGCTAAAGGAATACTATAGATTTATATACATTTTCTCTGACATAGTTGCAGTATCATTATTATTGATCTTAACTTTTATTTCCTGTTCTCCCCTGAAACAACTTTTTCTGAGAATATGATAGTTTTCATTATTATCTAAAGATTAAATAATTTAATTGCATTAGTATTGCATGGTTTCTTTATTCATCAAACTGTCATGGCAAAGTGACAGACCGGTGAATATGCACTTTAAACATTAAAATGTTCAAAGACTATGTCCTCTCCATTGAGAACCCCAGGTGCCTAGCACTCAATTTTTTAAAAATGAACTATATTTTAGAACAGCTTTAGAGTCATAGAAATATTAAGCAAAAAATACAGCCTTCCCATTTACCCCTGCTCCCACACATGCACAACATCCCGCGCTCTCTGCATCCTACACCAGTGGTATTTGTTACAATTGATGAATCTGCATTGATATATGCTTATCCAAAGTCCATAGTTTCCATTAGAGCAGCCCAGGGCAGCACAGATGCATAAGACATCATTCCAAGCATTGAAAACTTCACCTAGAATATTGATCTCTAATCCTGGCTGTGCATCAGAAAAATTGTTGATGTCATTTAAAAAAACAAATGCCAGTGCTCAACTCTAACCCTTTGAAATTATATCTGGAGATGAGGCCTAGGCATATATATTATTTTACAAAAGACTACATGTATGTTATTAACAAATGAAACATAACAAAGAAAAAATGAGCTTGAATTTAACTTGTAGATTTGATAAATATCATGCCTCTATTTACCATATATGTTAGCCAGTCTTTTACTAGCAGATCAGCCAAGTACCTTTATTAGGAAATTCTTTTTTTTTCATAGTCATCAAATGTGATTCCAAATTGAGATGCCACTAAAAAAAATTTGTAGGTGTATTATAAATCCATAGAGTCTAAATCTTCATTTCTTAGTGTATTTCTTATGATCAAGAAGTGATATAAGGACACTCCATCTAACTCAAGTAAATTATTTTTGAGGAAAAATAATTTTTTTAAATTTTTGTTATAAATTTGGTAAACAGTTTTTTCTGAGTTAGAAAGAGTTGTCATCACACCAAAATGATTAAAATGACTTTGGCATTAGTGACAGTTTCACATTTGTCTTCGGAGTAGTGAATAGTGAGGTGAAACAGCTAGGATATAAAAGGATTCTTAATGTAATTTGAAGATCGTAGTTCCTAAAACCTTTGATTAAACTTTAATCAATGGTCTCTGTGTTTTTAATCTCCTTTTGAGATCTGTTAGCAATGAACTGAACTGTTAATTTAAAACCAGTTATTTCTTAATGGCCAATAGAAAGTATATTACTTAAATATATACTTAATTTTCTGATAAAAAATAAAACAAAGCAAAACCTGTAATTTTATTGCAAAGACTTAAGCATGAAGTCAGTACCTAAGGACTTCCTTTCTTTTCTCTTTTTCCCTGAGATGCCACATTTTACCAGTAATTTGGTCTCTATCTGGAAACAAAGACACTAGTTTAAACACTGTACAGTGATATTTCCTCCTGTTGCACTAGATGCTCCTTCTCACACTGGGTGGCACGAAGCTTAACAAAAAATTGTAGGAATTCTAGATGGATGACAGGTAGAGAGCCCCAGAATCTAAGATAATAATGATCAACACACACACACACACACAGACACACACACACTGCTGCAAACACAAAAAAAAGCCAGAAATAAAGTAGCAAACCCTGAATATCGCCTGAAGCAAGGTCAGTTAATGTGAAATAAACAAAAGGACAAGTCAAAGGTAAAGAAATAATTATACAATTCAGCTTCATAAGTCACGTTAGAATAAATTCTGCGCAAAAAGACCAGACATTCTTTGCACTGGAGGCCTTGAGAGGTTCGCATTCCATCACAGGGATGCTAGAGAAGAGACTTCGAGTTTTCGTATTCTCTAGTGAATTTATGCAGTTTCCTCTTAGAGGCTCTGTTTTTAATTTGCTTCTTTCAGTTTTGACAAAGTAATATCCTTTCTTTACTTTTACATTAATGTTAAATATTTTCAGAACTAGTTGACTGTCAAAATATAAAATACTACTGGCTTTAATACTACTGACTTTGTTTTGATTTGTATAAAATGAATTTACATAAGTTTTTTAAAAATTTGTTATAAGAGCACAAAATGACAGAGTACTACTGAGAACACTTTGCCTTTTAATGTGAAGTTCCCTAATGACACAGATGAGATTCCTAGGGAAAATATCAGTAGAAGGTTTAATTTCCAAAATTAAATTTCTTCAGGCTCAGATCCACCTACTTGTTTTTTAGAACTGATAACACATTAGCAACCATAACATTGAGTGTCAAAATGTTAAGGTAAAATAGCGTTTTTGCCTTTAATATCGTTTTTTCTTGGCACCAAATGTTCTGGTATGGACACCCAGTATGTTGGTCCTGTGGAGAAAGGACACAGAATTACTTCTTGGAAAGCATCTTCTGACGTAAGTGGTTCACTCGAGATCCATAGGCAGGAACTTCTGCAGCCTCACACCATCAGATAATCCTTCATCTAAACCAGGTTAACTGTGAGACTGTTTCATGATCACAAATGTTATCGTTTGAATTACCAGCTAATGGTTATGACCAGGATGCCTTACGTTCCCCTCAATTCCACAAAACGCTATTTTTTAAGTTATTTTAAATTGGAAAATGATTTCTGTACAGTATGTGTTGGTTTTTGCCCTACAACAATATGAATCAGCCATAAGTATACACATAACCCCTCTTTCTTGAGCCTCCTCACAAGCCCCTATCCCACCCCTCTGGGTCACCACATGTTTCTTTCTGGCATTGGCCCCTGACAGCCCTTTTTCTTAGAGTGTTTACTTTTGAAAATTGCTAGTGTAAATTCTTTCTCTGCCCCTTGGAAGGGTAGTAAGTCTTCTAGCTCTCACCATTTCTACAACCCAGGAATACCTTTCTCAAGTTCCTGGGATCCATTTCTTTGAAATATAATAATCACAAAAGATAGCACCTCTAACTCCTAGTCTCTCTGGGAAGGTAGGAGCCTAACTTTCTTAAGTGCCAATTAGCAAACACCTCGAGTTTTCGTATTCTCTAGTGAATTTATGCAGTTTCCTCTTAGAGGCTCTGTTTTTAATTTGCTTCTTTCAGTTTTGACAAAGTAATATCCTTTCTTTACTTTTACATTAATGTTAAATATTTTCAGAACTAGTTGACTGTCAAAATATAAAATACTACTGGCTTTAATACTACTGACTTTGTTTTGATTTGTATAAAATGAATTTACATAAGTTTTTTTAAAATTTGTTATAAGAGCACAAAATGACAGAGTACTACTGAGAACACTTTGCCTTTTAATGTGAAGTTCCCTAATGACACAGATGAGATTCCTAGGGAAAATATCAGTAGAAGGTTTAATTTCCAAAATTAAATTTCTTCAGGCTCAGATCCACCTACTTGTTTTTTAGAACTGATAACACATTAGCAACCATAACATTGAGTGTCAAAATGTTAAGGTAAAATAGCGTTTTTGCCTTTAATATCGTTTTTTCTTGGCACCAAATGTTCTGGTATGGACACCCAGTATGTTGGTCCTGTGGAGAAAGGACACAGAATTACTTCTTGGAAAGCATCTTCTGACGTAAGTGGTTCACTCGAGATCCATAGGCAGGAACTTCTGCAGCCTCACACCATCAGATAATCCTTCATCTAAACCAGGT